AGGACTTACAGTATGAATTGATTTTACACCCTTTGAGAACCCCTTTGCTTCTATCATCTGAACAGGTCCACATTCCTTCAGGAGGCAGATTCTTTCCATTCAAACAAGTCTGAATAAACTTGTAGAATGATCCCATAAAATAATCATGGTAAGCCATGGTAACTACATTCTCCAGTTTCCATTTCTGAACAGATATCAGTGAGAATACAACAGCAGAGACAATTTCCATGTAGTACTTTGATTCTTCCTCTAGAATGTTGATATGCACTGGATTTTTCAAAGTACAAACACACATATAATCTGACACAAAAAATATTTAGTAATTATCAAAAGTAAGGGAGTTTACCAAAAAGCATGCAAGTAATCTTATAGTCAGTGGAAGCAGTTACAGAAGCTACTCCATATTCTTCATCACAATAGGAGATAGGAATTGAGATTAATTTTTCTAAAACACTAAAAATTTTTCCACATCAAACTTTGATTTTATATTTAAAGCAATTGCATTTCTGAGAATTTACAAGAAACTGATAAAATATACATTTATTTCCTTTTTATTACAGCTGTCCCTAATAATATGCTTTTTAAATACACTGTCTGTTTCTAGTTCATTGTTATAGTTCAAAACTTTAGAAGCATTTTAAAAGCACTCAAAAACATTTTAGCACGCAGAACGCAGTGAACAAAGTGTGGTCCTCAAACTTTTTTGGATTACATTACCTTGGTTTTTTTAACATATGAACACACTTTTTATATCGGAAATGGACAGATACCTGGCAACCTATCAAGCAAGCATGTTTCTGCTCTAAGTCACACCTTGTAATAAGTAGAGAAGTAGTATAGTTTCCAAAGTTTAAAATTACTGTCTGCTAATACTTGCAGCTTTGAAATTTCATCGAAGTCCTTTCTGTACTGCAATCATTGAACATACTTCTTTGTTAAGAACCTATTAACCAAATCCAAGCTTTCACTTAAGGAAAAAAAAAAAAAAAATTTAAATCTGTGAGTTAATATTGTTGTGTCTATTTCAAAAGCTTACTGCTTACTTAATCTTTTTTTTTTTTTTTTTTAAATATGCAGCACTAATTTTGCAGTCTTCTACATGTTGCAAGAACTTCTTTCTACATTAACCTGGGAATTTTGGAATAAAGAGAAGATGATTTTACACTCAAGATACAAGGTTTTCAGTAGCAACAAGTAAAAAGAATTGCAGAGCTACAAATCCTTCTATGGCAGCATCTTTTTTCAACGTCTGCCTTTGTAAACTGGAGAAATCAAACTGTCTGTAGGTTAGTTGGAAAAAACATCCATTAATATACAATAAAAGAATATGATCGCCATTAGCATTAGAACTATAGTTGCAGCACACGTGCTCAGGACCTACCTGAGCAGCCCACATTGTGATGCAGACTGATACAACTACAATCCAGTTGGCACTCATTTTCAGGACTAAGACAGATGCAAACCTGTAACTCGCTCTCCTATATCTGATGAAGTTCAACATATCTGTTGGGATCTACCTCAGCATAGCTATTACAAAAAAAAAAAAAAGCTTATTTCACCACAAAAGCTACTGAAAGATCAAGGTCTGTCTGGCAAAGATATGCATTAAACTTTTAAAGATAAACCCATGTGCCATGTGACCTCCAATCAAGATCTGAAAGCAAGTAAACAAATTGTCAAAACAAAGACAATAACACACTTTTAACTCTCGGTAACATACTAACATTAAGCATTAAAGCAAGTGATTAAATTAAAGATGATGACACTCATTTTCCTCAGTTTTGAATCAGTTTAAAATTCTGAATTCAAAATTACATAACACTGAGGTCTCTTACTTCCAGTATCAACAAGCATGATTCAAGCTAAAAATGTTAACATAGAACAGCTTCTAAAAAGTTGGGATGGGATACAGACATTTATAAAATATTAAACTGTAAGTACATAAATCATGCTTTTCAACCAACTTGTTCTGTCCATTGGTTTTATCTGACTCTGATTTTATACTTTTAAGGACTAAATGCCATTCTAACCATTGTATCTAAAACCAGCTACATGCACACGCATGCACACAATGTCATTTCACACCTATGGTTGTGAAGCACAGTTACAGCTACATCACGTCAGCTGAGATGCAAAGTCAGGGATATGACTTTGATACATGATACATTTCCATAAAGATGTAGTCATAATTTAACTCCTAAGATAGGAGTAAGATACTTGGGGACAGAATGCTCACTTGTAATTCACATCAGCAAATATCTGAAATACAGATGTTTATCTTGATTAGACAATGGAGGAAATACTTCTGGATTTCCAATCATTATTACAACCATAATCACAGACTGACTGACGCTCTTCCTTGGGTAATCCGAAGCCACCAAGATTAACTCATCTCTTTGCAAAGGTTTGGCCAACTACTAACACTGGACTTCACCGGGTTGGGATCTCAATAGTCTGTTTTAAAAATATTCTGCTATAAAAATAGCATCCACTCAAAATGACACATTATTCCCGACAGTATGAAGAACAACTTAGATAGACCTGGTCAAGCTGTCAGCATGGAAATTCAACCTCAGCTCTTGTCCTGTAAAAGACCATCCTACCACAACATCTTTCAAAGAAAAGACATGATAAATTACAAGCAGTCAAGTAGGTTTACATATCCATCTGCTTATTTCCATCACACCACCACCTTCTCATCCGAATTTCTGACAGGAGCAAAAAAAGCAGCATCATATCACTGTAAAATTTGACTTCCCTCTTCCTGTCTTGCCAAGATCTGCCAAATCCACTATATGAGGATCACTAAGTAAAACTCTTGAGCATTCACAGTGTACCTGTTCAGCACAGTGCTTCTGAAATCACAAGTAAACAATCCAAATAAAATGGGTAAAAATATTAACATATTTAACGTTTTAGCTTAATATATTTAAAACTTGTTAATAAAAGCCTTACAGAATTCAAACATGGATAAACAAACACATCCAGATACTTCATCCTCCAAAGACAAAGAATCACAGAATAGCTTGACAGAGACCTTAAGGATCATCCACTTCCAACCCCCTTGCTATGGGCAGGGCTGCCACCCAACCTACCAGGCTGCCCATATGACCTTGAACACCTCCAAGGCAGAAGGCATCCACAGCTTCTCTGGGCAACCTGTGCCAGTGCCTCACCACCCTGTGAGGAAAGAGCTTTTTCCTTATATGTAATCTGAATTTTCCCTTTTTAAGTTTAAAGCTGTTACCCTTTGTCCTGCCATTACAATTTCTGCTAAAGAGTCCTTCTCCAGCTTCCCTGTAGGCCCCGTTTTAGGCACGGGAAGAAGTCTTTGAAACACAGTGCAAACCTGTAAATTACAATAAGTTTTAAAATCAACTAGCAGACCAAAGCTGTCTAACAAACCTATATTAAGTATTCTAAAAGTTGTTACTGAGATATAAAGTACCCTTTCGGAAAAAATATTCAATATAGTAGTTTTTGCATTATTTAACTTCTTTTGTATTGTTCTTAAAGTGTTTTATGAATTCCATAGTTCAATTATTCAGGATACTTCATAAATTATTAAGACAAACTTAAGTACAACACACAAATAACAATGCAACTTCTTCCACATGGGTGTACATGAGCTCCACCAACAGTAGGCGAGCCTTTCAAAACATTGAAAAAGGAGAAAAGAAAAACCAACACAGTATCTAAAATAATGCTCATTGTGTCTGAACACAGAGAAAGCAATCAATGCAGCTGGTTTGGATGGTACCACAAACCTTCAAGAAGCACAAGCATGAAACTCTTCATTCTGTTTTCTGATCAAACAACAAAATGATCTCTATTCAGTCAATTAATTAACCAGGTATATCCACTGTATTTAAAAGTTACTAGAGCATGATTTGGGCAGGGGAGCACACAAATATACAAATCAAATTTTACAAGCAGTCACTGACTTCAAACTGGAGTTCCTTTGCAGTAGGTGCTGAAAGTAAGAATTTGTTTGTTTTTAATTTGTAGCTAGATTATTTAAGAGAATCTTACATGCCATGCAATAAGAAAGAATATAAAATAAACATTAAGGTTTCTTAAAAATAAAAAGAACTCACTACATGAGCTCTTGCTTTAAGAATTAACTGTAAAACTATTACATGAATTACCAGTACAGTGAAGAGGTAGAAGAAAAAAAAAAATAGACAATTAGAATAGATATCTAGCAAAAAGGAAGTCAGATAATATAGCTTTCAAAGGCAATCATTTAGCTGTATACTACATAGTGTGCATTACAAAATTCAAAACTTTAAGCTTAAATGATTCAAGTATGCACTACAAATATTATACCACTGTGTTAGTTATTCACACTTTGACACTCCATTTCTGTCTTACATTAAGGCTGAAATGGACTCTCTGTCCTGTTAGCCTTGCATATTTTCAACAGTGAAACACTGCCACCTTTTGGCTTGATACACAGACCTCCCCCTTACAATTTTGTTTTTGTTTGGGTTTTTTTTGCTACATTTGTCCTTTATGAAGAAGGTTAAATTATCATGACCTTTTTTAAAAAATTTGGTTCAGTAGCAAGATTTCTCCAGGGGAAAAAACAAAACAAAACAAAATACTTAATGTTAATTGGTAAGAAAACACTATTTTTCTCACAAGTATGATCACACTGCCAAACAACCTAAAAAATATACTCCGTTTAGCCATATCTTTTCTCGATTTTTTCCCTAGCATGACAGTTCTTTTTTCTTAGCAGTTTCTGCATTCAGATCACCTGTATCACACAGTATTTTAAACTGCACTCCTTTTGAGTAAAAAATTATTTTAAGTAATGCATTCTTTGACCATCTCCTGACTTTTGCAAAATCATTATAGGAATAACAACATGTTATTCAAGAAGGATGGGTTCCTTGCTCATACATATACCTACGGTATGTCAGAGATAAAATATTAAATACAAATTGTTCAATATTTATATGAAAATGTATTGAAATGTATGCAGGATTACTTACACCAATGACACAATGTCCCCACGTTGCACATCATAATTTCGAATGCTCCAATGGTTCAAGAGCACTACATCAGATGCTTGTCTTCCCCCAGGATTCAAGGAAGGCTTAGAAGGAGGAAAAGAACAGCTTTAGGTCAGCAATGCCTGTATGAACTTTACGTCTAATTCACATTCTATCAAAGGGTTAAATCCTGAAGCTATAAAAATTAGTAAAAATATGCCCAATTACTTTAAAAGGATCAAGAACGTGTTTTATTATAGTAAATACATTTCTTTACTAAATGCTATATTGAATGTCATAAACTTATGGCAAACAGTAGTCCACATCTTTCAATGTATTGCTGCATGCAAATTAAATTACACAGGACGTATATTCATGACACACTTCATGAAAAGTAGTGTTTGCCTTCACTGTCTGTGATTTAAAAGATTACAAACAAAGGAAAACTAAGAACACAAACTCCCAAGAAACAGAAACTTTCTGTAGGCATATTAATGCTCAGACTAGCAAAATGCACCAAAAAATGAAATACGTAGTTGTAGCAACATTAATCTCCGGGCTCTTTGCAAAGGAAACAAAAAATACCTACAGCATACACTGACACTGCTAGTAAATGTGGGCCTTCCATAACAGAATCGAGAGAAGCATGAACTTCCACACAAACATATAAAGAAGTACAACTACTGAACAAAAACCAACTGAATAAGTAGTTAGTAATTAGCACAGAGTATTAGAAGATATTCAGAGCCATTAAAAAATATTTTGTGTGCTGCAGTATAACATCATTGTAATTGCTTAACTCCGGTTCTGAGTTAACTCATCAAAAACTGTAGAGAAAGGAAGTAGCCATACTGTCTTCATCAATTCTGAAGGGATTATTTCAAGTGTTCCTACTACTAGACAGAAAGCATAGATATCCAGACTAGTTTTGTTGGCAACATATATCTCAATCAGATTTTTCAGACATTTCAAATAAAATCATGGTACACACTGGCCAGACAATGATCTCTAAATTAGACTCCACAATTAGATGAAATATTTAATAAGGTACATTACAATCCCGTGTACCACCAAATCTGATAAGAATACTGCAACTACACATCCTCTCATTCACTGACAGGAAACTAACAATGTTTGCCAAAATTGCATTTTTTGAAAATGAGGTTTTCAATGTTCACCTTACAGTATAAAATGTTCCTCTACCTTTGCCACCAGGCACTGACTTCTGAGATTCCCAGATTGACTGTATTTTCAATGAGCAAACCAACCAGGGTACAGAACTGAAATTAACTTATGTCAACATATTTAATTACACAGTGTTGAATAAAACTGTGCTTCCAAACCAAGATGGATACTTAGCATTTTTTAATTAATTTTTAAGCTATTCAAAAGTGCTGATTTCTCTTTCTACCAACAGTTTCTGTTTTCTATTTTCCTTTTTCTTTCTTT